CGCCTATATTATTTTGTCAATAAAAAATTTGTCATGTAAAAATATTTGAATTAAAAATTAATTGTCATGCTATTAAATTTTTACAAAATTATTTCCATCACCATGCAATTTTTGACAAATAATATTATCATACAAACAAACATGTGACAAAATAAATGTTGCCACAATAAAGTCAATGACAAATAAATTTCGATCACTATTAAAATTATGAGAATGTAATTTAGTCATTATTGTCATAATTTTGACAAAATCAATTTCGTCATCATATATTATATTCTCACTATAAAGCTTATCATTTGGTCTCTAAATGTAAATCAATTGTGACAAAATATTACTTATAGTGATAAAAATTGTCGTCTATTGTCACAAATAATTTATCACAATAAACTAGTTTACAATGACAAATTATTATTGTCACAATAAATAATTAGGTTATGATGACCAAACACACTTTCGTCACTATACACTTAAGAGTACGAGCTTAATGTGACCATGGTGGCCAATATAATTCCTCACATTAGTGAAATGGTAATAATTTTGATATTTATAGTGACAAATTATTTTGTTGCGAAAAGCCTAAATTCTTGTAGTGCTCTTATTGGCATAGAATTTGTTCAGTCCAAACATGATTATGCACTATTTACCTGGCACAAAGGTAAAACCTTTATCGCTCTAAACATCTATGTAAATGACATTCTTATTACAGGAAGTGATGAAGTAGACATCAAATCCTTGAAAGAGCATCTCAACATACAATTTTGAATAAAAGATCTGGGAGAACCAAAATATTTCCTGGGAATCGAAATTGCAAGATCCTCGGCAGGAATATCTCTCAGCCAACAGAAATATGTCTTGGAACTAATTTTTGATTCTGGGCTATAAGGATGCAAGCCAAGTATTATTCCTGTAGAACAAAACACCAAATTGACTACTCAAGAATACGACAATGGGACATCATCTACTAAATTTGATCCACCTCTTGAAGACCCCACAAACTATTAAAGACTTGTTAGGCGATTAATCTATCTCACCATGACTCGCTTAGACATCAGTTATGCGGTCCACATCCTTAGTCAATTCATGCATGGGCCTAACAATCTCACATGGATGCTACAATAAAGGTTTTGAAATACTTAAAAGGATGTCCTGGCTTAGGTCTCCTCTTTCCTCAAGACAAAGGTTTGGATATCACAGCTCATTGTGACTCAGACTGGGCCACATGTCCATGACAAGAAAATCACTTATAGGATTCTACATCAAGCTAGAGGGAGCTCTTATTTCTTGGAAAACAAAGAAATAATTGACAGTATCTCTTTCTTCAGCAGAGGCAGAATACAAAACCATGACGAAGACAATATGTGAGATCGTCTGGATTCTGGGATTATTAAAGGATCTAGAAGTACAAGTAAGTAAAGTGGTTCTTTTATACTGTGACAACAAGGTTGCAAACGACATAGCAACAAATCTAGTATTCCATGAAAGAACGAAACATATAGAAATTGATTGCCATTTTTTCAAGAACAAAATACAAAAAAGGGTAATCAAAACTTTACATATTCGTACTTCATAACAACCAGCAGACATCTTCACAAAGCCATTATGTAGCAGGTAGCATTCATATTTACTCAACAAGCTTGGATTTTTTGACATCTACAAACCAAAAGCTTGAGGGAGAGTGACGAAATATGGAATGCCTTTATTATTGCTAGCTGAGATTAAGGAGTGATTAAAGTTTCAATCAATCAGCTTAATTCATGTGGTTGATTGAACAATTACAAGGATTTTTGTATTTATTATTTTCCTTCTTTTTATATTCACAAGAATGTATAAATTGGTCAATTGTATAGCCTTACAATATACTGAATATAAAAAATTCTTATCTCTCTCTTCTCTAGGGCATACTCTGGCAATGTCATTATCTTGAATTACTTCTCTTTGTCCTTCTCTCTGTCTCTATCTCGATTACTTATAGATTTCTCTCATCCGTGGATATAGGTGGGTTATGTTGAACAACGTAAATGTCATGTCTCTTTGTGTATTGTGATTTTATTCCTACATTATTCATCTTGAATATATGTTTTCTGTTACACGATCTCCAACAAGAAGAAAATTCTAGACCATTAAGAAATTTGTTCAGAAATAAAGAGGCTTCAACCATCCGAGTTTTAGGCAAAATGAATGGTATAATTCATGTAGAGGGCTTCTCTGTAAAAATAGTTTCACATTCTCGTTTAATGAGAAGTACAAATGAGAGAACCATTGCTTCAATTCAAGATTATTCTTGGTTGTAAGTTTGCAATTCCCATTACTACTGTTCATATCAGAAATTAAATATTTTTTCTTACCTTGTCTGGTTTACTTCTAAATTAACTTTGTGTTATGAATGCACTGATCTCGGTCTTCTTGATCAACCTACTTTCATCAAAAGCTAGTAAGTTCTATCACCAATTATCTCAAATTTTGCGTTTGACCATCCAGTAATAACATAATAAAAAGTCTTTCTTCATTTTAGTCCATTAAAAATATTTGAAGATATTAAGAAATCAAGGCCTGTTTGGTAGATTATTTGAAATGCGATATTCTGAAAAACTATTTTAAGTTAAGTTGAGTTGGATTAAATAGAATAAGTTAGGATTTTGAGGACGTGTTTAGTATAATATTTGAAAATTATGTCAGAGTTGGATAAAATCCAATCAGGATAACAGAAAAATGATTCAAAAGAGTAAAACAAACAGGCATAATTTTTTTCTCCAAAAATCTTAGTAGTGGGAAGCTTTCTTAGTGGCCAAATACTTATCAAAGCAATGATGACGGTGCAAAACTGATGCGGAAATTTTCCACATTGACAAGTGCTTTCCTTTTGCTTAATACTTTCAGCAGTTTATGCTCACTGAATTTTGTGAAAAAGAAATGTCCAATAGAAAAGTCTTTTCCTCTACATATGAGACTCTCATTTTCAACATTGTTTGCAATTTTGTATGAATCATGATCGCATCTTATTGTTCTTCGCAGTTTATGGCTTTGGCGCCTTATGAAGATGATAGGCTGATCTTTGTTCATAGATTTCATCTTTGTCACTGACTTTTATTTAGAAATTATTGATATTATACATGGAGTTGATAATTACAGAGCAGTTTAAACTTATATTAATTCTATCCCACTTCATTGACTTCATTGACTTTTACTATATGTTATATTGTTATTGCATTATGAAAGCTCTCTTCTTTATTAATTAATTTATTTTTAATCAATCATGTGGACTCATCCTTGACAAGAATTATGGGTGGTAGAGATAAATAGATTATTAAAATCACTGGTAATGATTTTTGAGAGCACTTAATTCCGAATGTTGGAATAAGGCCAAGCTTGGGAAGTATATGAAATGAATTAAGTATTAAGATTATGCTTGTCTAGTTATCATTTGTCGTTTGAGTAAACCTTTTTAAGTTTCAAATTGAATGATGGTTGATCAACGCTTGAAAATATTGACGACTTTATGATATGACGGACAGGAAAATTGTGGGTGTTTCCCCTGTTGAGGATTTTGAATCAATCGAGAACGGTAGCAAACGATTAGCTTGTCAGCGGCGAGCTCTTGAATAGGCAAAAATGCTTCTCAATGAAAGGCCAAATTCCAGACCATTACTGAAGATTGCTCAGAAAAAGAAAGGCTTCAACCATGTAAATTTTTGTAAGAGATTTTCATAATGATTTCAATCAATATTAATCAAACAACGAACCATAAAATTCATTCTCAATCTCAATTTTTTTAAATCAACGTATATATTATAAAATATTGAATTGAATTGAATTTTGAAAGATAATTAAAATAACGGTTGGTGCCATGATTTCTGAATTCTTGAATTCCATATTGAAGTGATCAGTCTTCCTTTCCGGTAACACACCGAATGATGACTTCCAAATGGGTTTCAATTGCTCTATCACGTTTGAAAAAGGAATTTAACCATTTTATATTAACTTGTTAGGCTCTCCCATTATGGGCCCAATAAGACCCAAAGTCCACACTTTGTCCTTAACCCAAATTATGTAAAACGAAGTGTTACAAGCAATCTAAATTGGCTATTCATTTATCTGGTTTTATCAAACCAAAATATAATTAATATCATTAGAAATTTTCTAACAGTTTTAGTTAAAATGAATGGTGTATTTCATACAGAGGTAGTCTTTGTGAAAGTAGTTTCACATTCTTGTTTACAAAACAAGTAGAAACGAGAGAACCGTTACTTCAATAAAAAAAAAAAAATTATTGGTTGAAAGTTTGCAATTTCCGTGACCTCTATTCATACCAAGAAATAAAAATTTTCATTTATACTTTACATTTGTAGAAATTGTAATAATACTACATAAACAACATTTTCATACAATATTTTCCATACAACATGATGCAGCAAAAGATGATAGATGATTAAGTGAAAGTTATTTTTAATTTAAAATCAGTAAATCATCTTTTGTCTTATCAAATTATACGAGAAATATTATATAAAAATATTGTATGTACAGTATTATGCTTACATTTATATTAACTTTGTGTTTGACCATCCAGTTACCCAACATAATAAAAAGTTTTCATCAATTAAAAAATCGGAAGATATTAAGAAAATCAATTATTTTTCCCCAAAATGCAGACTTTTGGCTTGCCGGCTATTTCGTAGTGAAAGCTTTCCACTCAGTGGCCGAGTACTTATCGAAACAATGATGACTTTACAAAACTGATGTGGAAATTTTCCACATTGAATATTTGTAAGTGCTTTCCTTTTGATTTTGGAACTTGAAAATTTTCTGCAGTTCTTGTTCACTGAATTTTGTGAAAAAAGAAATGTCCTATAGAAAAAGATTTCTCATCTATACATGGGATTCCCATTTTCGATATCTTTTGCAATTTGCTAAGAATCATGATCGCAACTTATTGTTCTTTGCAGTTTATGGCTTTGGCTTAACTTTCTTTCGCCTTGTCTTCGATATGACAAGCTGATCTTTGATATTTAGAAATTATTGACATTGCACATAGAGTTGATAATAGGAATAAAAACAGACACTTCGATCAACATGATTCTTATTCTCTAAAACATCTTATTTGATTATTAGACTCCTAGGTTAATTACTTTCCATACTTGGCCTTGTACTCACTCCACAGCTGACTAACCGTCTTCCCCAGCAGATCAAAGAAGAACCTCTCATTATATCCATTTCTCATCTTCTTGTTAAGTTCTGCAACAAACCCACTTCTCAAACTGGTAAGGTAGTCTAGAAACCTGGCCGTAACGTCATAGCCTTGATCCCACCTGTCGCCCTGACCAGGTTGAACCCAATGACTTGGCGCATAGTTAGCCTTTAACCTCACGTAATCAGCAATCCCTTCAATCAATCCTCCGGGAGTCCGTCCGTTTCCATTCCATTGCCAAATATGTGTCATCTCATGGTATAGTACACCAGCGAACTCTCTTTTGAGATCACCAGAATAATTTCCTATATAATTCGCACTGAAGTGAATTTCATTGTTGCTAGCATATGCGACCCCGTCCATGCTATCGATAAACAAGCTGACTTTTTTCACATTTTTCCGATCAGCTGCGTTGTTTTGTTGTAAGATTCTCCATATAAAATTCGTGGCAGATACCAGTGTTTGCTTGCTGTAGTCGGCCCCGATTTGTTTGTTGAAGCGGGCGCCGCCAGCAGTTGTGATGGCGGTGTTTGTGACAGCGTAGTCAACTGCATGGCAGCCTTGCATTGCTGCTAGTGTAGTTAATATTAAAGAGAGGAAAAACATGTGGTGCGCCATGGATCAGGAGTGCCTTTCTTGTTCTCCTTGGGTGAAATTTTGTGCAAGAAATCTGATGTTGCTGAATGGTTTATATAGAATTTAGGTGTGTATATATATATTGTTAATAGGAGGATGCATGGTCCATGGTCCTCCTATTGTTCTTATTAAAAAGAAAGAAACCTGGAATATTCAGAAGAATATTGTTTTGTAAAAACGGAAAAATGTTAAGAGTATCATAATAGTTTTTAGAATGAAGATTTATGGAAATCATAATATTACTCTCGAATTTTATCTATAGATACCTTAAGAAAACATATATGAAAAAATTATCTTTGGGTGGTCGAGTAGTTCAACAGAGACTCTTGAATATATTACTCAAGAAGTCATAAGCTCGAGTCTCTCCTTGATTGTTAATAGGAATAGTCACTAAATTTTTTACTCAATTCATAATTTTAGGGTCAGAAGATTAATTAAGATATAAGTAAATTGGTTTAAACACCTTGGTCATAACAAAAAAATAAAAAATAAATAAAGAGATATGAAAATAACTTTTTCTCATTTACTTTTACTTTGACTTGCATTTGGCCGGCCGACAAGTCTTAATGGATGAGAAACAATCTCACTTTAGTAATTGAATCATAAAATGTTCACTGAAATTGAAACTGATTGGTGTATCCCTAATGTAATGGATGTCCCATGAACTCTGAACACATTGCAATACGATATTTGATTAAATTCGTATAGGTATTTAGATGTGTTTTTCATTCCAATCAAATCTGTGGATATATAAATATAATGCTTATGAAATGAAGAGACAGGAATTTGGTAACAAGAGAAAGTATAAAATAGTTATGTTTTATTTTCCACTTAAAAGGAGGTTAGATTAGAATAGTGATTTTTTTAGTCCTACATATTTTATCCTTAAACCCGACCACCAATTTGAACTAGGATATAAATGTAATTTCATCCTTATATTTAAAAGTTAAAACGCTTTTGAAAAGAAAAATATCCTAATAACTTAAAAGCTTTCTGAAAGCTTCGTAAAACCGATCCTGAGAGATGTGCGAAAGCAAACTTGCTTGATTCCACCGAACAACTTGCCAGCTAGAAAAGTAGATATTTTCAATGGTTAGGTATATTTAATCCTTTAATCTTATTCTGAGGATCAAAAACTCAAAAATTGAAGAGGTAATTATCTTGCTTTTGTGCCATTAATTATAGTGTTATGCATGAAAAAATAGGGCTGACGCAAGGTCCATTCAGCATGAAAAGTCAGAGCCTAGGTAGACCTGCAGCCACTCGGACGCGGCCACATCACGTGCTGACACGAGCAGACGCCCCTGTTAGTATAGTGAGCGCGCGTCAGACTAGCCAGAAGCTAGAAGCTTTCACGTGTCCAATCTCTACAACAAATCGCATAAATCACTTTAGGAGGTGGGCTATAAGACATAAAGAAGGATTTGCATAGATAATCCCACCAAATCACAAATTTAGTAATCATTAACCTAATCCATCCCATTATAAATTCAGAGTTCCTCTCTCATTTTGGGGATTAGCTAATCTCTCTAAAAAAATAGCACATACTCTTTCTCTCTCTTTCTCAATCATTTGTAAATTCAACTTGTTGACCGCAACCTGATCTCTATCATTAATATAATATCAGTGGACGTAGGACTTGCTTCCTTAAAGCATCCAAACCACTTTAAACACTGTTTTTGATCACTTTTTACTCTCATCTTTCTATCTATGTGTGTCTTCTAGGTTAACTCAGTATTTCATATGTGCGTTTGGTTGGTGAACAAATCATGCATCAATATATACAATCTACATAGCTTGATTAAGTTCGAGAAAAATACTGTTAGTAATTTAAAAGCTTTGTGAAAGTGATAACGATATTAAAGAAGAATATTTATTATGTTTTTATGTGAAAATAATAGTTTATATTAGAATTGATATTTGCTAAACAAGTTAACAGAATTCAAGAGAAAATCCAAAGTTTTAGAATTAATAGTTGATTTAACAATAGAATTTGAAAAAGAAATCCCGAGTCTGATGGAAGAATTTCTTTTATATTCTTCAATTTCAGGCCTCAAAGATGTCAGACTCTGTGGAATAAAGTGGGTGGAGGTTAACGATAAAGTGAAAGATTTTGTCCTATTATTTTACAAACTATTTTAATTACAATTGTGTCCCTTATTTGGGAGCTGAAGAGGAACTCAATGGGGTCTAAAGATCAATTCTCTAGATACGCTCAGTTTGTTTCACTACTTTCTCACTATTCTATCTTAAAAACTAAAATATACATTTATTTTAATATTCTCAAAATCTAATCATGTAACACCTACTGAAAACTAGTACAATGCATGCAATTAACAATGGAAAATTGGGCCCAAAATGTTTCTTTTCATTACAATTCACATGTCTTTTATACACAAAGGTTACTGTTTACAAAAGTGCATTTTAAAAGACAAAATAGGGGAACAGTGTAGCTATTGCTCCTCGCGCGCCGACGCCCCTCCAACCGCATCAACACCTAGAACCTGCATCCACAAAGGAAAATAACGGGGTGAGCACAAATAATGCTCAGTAAGTAAAACTCTCTAACTGTCTGTCCCCGTGTGTGACTCTTAATTCTTTCCTTTTCTAATTCTGTTTCTATTTCTGTTTCTAATAACATCATGGCCTCATCTTACCGGAGGTACGGCCGGATGGCGTTCACACAGCACCATCTCACTCTCTATGGCTATCGGGTGGAATTCACACAGTACCAACCCTTTCTTAGTGACTACCGAGTGAGGATCACAAAGCACCAACTCGGTTCCTCCTAACTATCGGGTGGAGATCACCTAGCACCTACCCGTTCCTCATGAATTTTGGGTAATGATCACCAAGCATTTACCCGTCTCTAGTCACTATCGGGTGATGATCACAAAGCATCAACCCGCTTCTACTAACTGTTGGATGATGATCACAAAGCATCAACCCACTTATCTAATAACTAATCGGATAGTGATCACAAAGCATCTACCCCATTTCTATTACTCATTGGGTGACGATCACAAAGCATCGACCCATCTCTAAGGGCTATTCGGATGATGATCACAAAGCATCAATCCGATTCCCATAACGGTCGGGTGATGATCACAAAGCATCATCCCAACTATACTACTCTTCTAACTCATTCTATTGTAGCATTTTTCAATGCTCTCTACCCTTAGAGTAATTTTACCCACTAAGCTCTCTACTCATAGGGTATTTCTATACACAAAGTTCCCTACTCTTTCTTAGGTCACTTGTCAATGCATATAACAATGCACATGGATGATTCATCTCTACTAATGCACTTGTGAAATGCCAACATGCAATGTTGCAAAAATTAAGGTTCATTACTCACACTCAATTCTCTATTAGGCATTTCATCAAACAACTCATGTGCACTATAAAACTCTATCATAGCCATGAATCTAAAACTTTTCCTAACCATCCAAAATGGGGAAAAACCCCTTCACAAAGTCATAATAACCTGTCAAATAACACACTTCCAAAAAGGGTTCCATAACACCCCTTCAATTCCATCTCAACTACCTTGCCAATCCAACAACCCATTTCTCATATTTGCAAGGTATTAACATTCACAAAGCATAGAAATCTCCATTTAATACTCCATACATGGCATATTACATGCACATCAAATACATACATCATTTCTATCAAAACCCTAATCAAGAAATTTCATAAATCTCAACTTGGGTTGGGTTTTACTTACTTGCTATGGAGAGACTTCACCAAATCTTCTTTCCACTTGGTTTTCTTGACTATTCTCTCTACTCTTAACCAAAAGAATGAAAACCCTCAAAAACCAAAATGAACTAAAATCTACAAATCACACAACTTAAGGAGAAATCCTTACCTTAGGAAGCCTTAGGTTGTTTTCTATACCCCAAATCACTTCAAAATCCCTTGGAAATCCTTGATCAAAAGAAAAGAGAAGTTGAGAGGAGTAGAATGAAGAGTTGCGTTTGAGAAGAAGAGAAATGAGGGGTTTCTTTGATTCTAATTCCTTTTAAAGAAATATAAACACACTCATTCCCATTTTGCCCTTATTCTTCTATGGAAATTCCATCCATATCCTTTGATTCATTACAAACTCACCCCCATATCAACATATTCTCCATGAAAAATCCTTACAATTAACTCCCCACTTTTCCTGCTAATTAGGGGTAGAAAGGTCAAATTGCCCTTAGGGAAGAAAATGTCTAAAACTCAACCAACATGAAAATCGGCCCGTCGCCGCGGCGAAGAAACCTTTGTCGCCGCGGCGAAACTGTCCAGAGAGTTTCACCCTTGGTTTCAACCCTTCTTCGCCGCGGCGAAGATTCTTCTTCGCCCCGGCGAAGCTTGGTTCACTAAGATTCTTCTATTTTCAACCAATTTCAGGGCAACATTCAACATAACACTCAAACAAACAATAAAAACAAAAACCAACTCGATTAAGGGCGAAAGAGGAAACAATAACAACGTACCTCAAATGGGGCGTTACAAATCATATTCTATTTAACTCAAAATATTTAAATTGTTTTTAACCCCATAGGTCTGTTAATTTAACTAAACACCCCCAACAATAAAAATTTATAAATTAACAAAAACATCCACACCCACCCACATTTTCCAGATTCCAGCTACCACTATCAGAAGTTAGTCAAAATTTGCTGTAATGGCGCACTACCGGCTGGATTTGGCTAGTAGTGCATCGATCTGGCATTTTTTGGCCAGATCCACCGTGAATCTAACCGAAAAATGTCAGATTTATTGCCAAAGATTGACGACCAGATCTGGCCACATCTGGTCGTTAACGATGGCCATATCTTAGATCTAGCCTTTTCCAGCCAAATCCACGGTGGATCTGGTTGGGAAAAGCCAGATCGGCGTACTACTGACCAGATCCAACTGGTAGTGCACCATCACGACATATTCCGGCCATCTTCTGGTGGTAGTGGCTAAAATTTAGCAAATGTGGTTAGGTAGAAGTGTTTTTGTCAATTTATAAACTTTTATTATTGGAGGTATTTATTTAAATTAACAAACCTAGGGTTAAAAAAAATCTAAATATTTTTAGAAAATGCTATTAAAAAATGTACA